TCGATGGATGGTTCGAATTGGAGCGTGGCATTTGGAGAATTTTGGGTTCGTGTTAATTTTACGCAGAAATCTGTGGCATGCTAATCGAATCGGTTCCACAATTGTTGGCTTTTGGCTATTCTGTTTATTTCCGATGCGAACCTGTTCATTTGAAAACCAATTGGTTGTGAGATCAGAAGTGCTCTTTTTTTTGTCCTGCCAAGAGATTTGGCCATTTATTCAAGATCAAGTTGCTGGAAATTCCTTAAAAGAATTTTAAGTTTAATAAATCAACAGTTTATGAATAATATTTTGAGTTTTTTGATTGAAGATACTTTAATAAATTGTTATCGAATCCACCAAAAGCATATTATTGAACAACCCTACCCAGAATAACCCAAATAACCCAAGCTGATCTGGGTTGCGGAGCTTGTTGAGGCAATTAGTCGGCGACACGAGTGCCAACATGATTTGACCCCTTCGGAGCATATTTGTATGCAATCAGTTAACAATCAGCGATGGCTGTTGCAAAGGCGATCCGTGAGATACGAGATACATACGACCATGATACGGGGGCAGATACAAGATACTGATGGTGGGAGTGACACAAATAAATTAGGGTTAATTGGAACGTGGGTAGAATGGGTATCTGGAGGTGGGAATGCCAGGATTTTTGTATTACTGCGAATTTAAATAATAATAACAATCTTATCTTTATTCACGTGTATATATAGTTATAAAGCGATTATTGATAAGCGATAAGTACATAGAACCAGTTATCAAATTTCTTGACATGAAACTCCATAAATTCTATCTATTTGATATACCGATTATAATGTCGTTCGATTTGTTGCTATTTCCATTTCAGTTAATTCCATTTTAATGATCTTGCATTGCCTGATATATGGATCAGCTTGTGGAGCAATTGCAGTGCTGATAGATGAAGTCATCGCCTGTCTTAGAGGCGATTTCTCTAACGTTTCCTATATCTGCCCGCTGTATAAGTGCGGTTGTATCTGACAGATATGCGATTTGGATTTGGACCAGGCTCGATTCCAGCTCGGCAATTGGAAAATACCTGCCAGCCTTGCGTGATCTTGTGTTGCCCGAGACTTGGATCCGATAATCTCTATCTCTGTTTCGTGGACAGGGAAATCGGATTGTACACTGAGAAGTAATAAGAGTATTTCCACAGCTTGTCAAATGATTAGGCAAAATATGGGAGAAAAGGAAAAACAAATAACTTTGGAGAGATTTTTATTTTATATAGAACCTCTGGAATATTTGCACATATTTCAATCACAGTGTACTCGTTTCATTATCTATTTGAGCTCATAATCGACTCGAATCGGCAATCGGGAGCCATAAAAGTGTATCGCAAAGTCGTGGCCGGGCTATTGAGAGGTGAATTGATTTCAGTGAGTGCGGTGCAGTGACAGCTGCAATCAAAACAAAGTTAGGCAAACGTTTATTCACATTGTATATCAATAAAGTTTTACACATGCTTTGCATATTTGCGGCAATTACCCGCGCCACTGCGAATGAAAATCAGACAGCGGCGGATAATTGATGATTATGAGTGTGACTACGAGTGCGATTGTGAGTGCATATGAATGCATATGGCTGTGAGTGCGAATGCGAATGGTTAAATGTCGTGAGCGTGTTCGTTGTGACACATAAATAAGCGAGTGCAGATATCAGATCTGCGGTGGTTTACTATGGATATTATGGTGTGTGATGGGGGCTTATCGCCGATCCGAAGGGTTTGGCCCGACCAGCTCAATTAATTGATAGCGCCAAAATGCAAATGCCAGTTCCCAGATGGAAACGCCGCGATCGATATCATGGCCCAAAGATAATGTCAACACGAACCGCGGAACGCCAAACGCCAACGCCAGAGTTCGGATTTTCCAAGTCCCATGACGGATGCTGCAGATTCGGATCTCCTCCGGCGGCTTTCGGTAGCTGCCACACCCACAGCCACCACCTATCACCTCCCACCACCCACCCACACACGTACACGGCGAGAAAGATTAGCATATTTTCCAGCATCAAGATTAAATTACTCAGATCTCCAAGGAACTTTTGGCTTACTACACTGGTCAAACAATACTTCAATACTTCAACAGTTTATTACAATTTTTTTTATATTTAGTTAAATGCATATAAAAATACCGAGCTATGTTTCTTTTTTTAAGGATTATACCTTAATAAATATCTTTAAAAATGGAAGATTCCATTTAAATATTTTATAAAAATAAATAAAATATTATCTGTACAAAAATATACAGCTTTTAACTCTTGCCAAAAATGTATCTTGTAATCACACTATATCTTTACAAATGTTTTAAATTACTGGTGTACTATTTAAGAGCTCTTCTAAAAATATATACAAATATGAAAGTTAGCTGAAGGTATTTTTCTAAGTGCACCAAAGCCAGAGTCACAGGGCCGATTGTCGTGCCACTGGGCCGCGCCCCTCGACAGCTCAAAAACGGCAATGGCTAAAGTATATTCATTTGTTTGCCAATCAGCCTGTCAATAATTGTCAACAAGGTGTGACTATGCCAATATTTAATTATTCGATTTCATTCAAAGGCAACAACATCAACTGCAGTGGCAACAACTTGGTATTCGAATAGGCTGCCAACTGATTTTCCTCCTTCAAGCTGCTGGGAATCGAATGTTGATCAAATTTTTCGTAAATTCCCAGCCAAAAAGACCAGTAAAAATTATAGTTCGTCATTCCAGAAAGTTTATAAAATATTAGATACATATTATACCACTCCCTGCTCTTTAAAAAACCGCAAAGTAGTCTATATTTCTGTTGACAATTTTAAAATTTCAATTTTCTATAATAAAGAAAGATTCTGAAAATAACATAAGACAATGAAACATTCCATTGTAGCCCAAGTAAATAAAAAGATACTTTGTCTGGCACTCTAATTAAAAGATTAACCGGAAATTTAAAGAACTCGTGCATACGAAACGCCCAAGATCGCCAATGGCACAGACCGAAATTAGGCATTTGACAATCATCATTCCGGGCCATGAAAGCCATTTGGATAATTTGGTGTGTCGGTTATAAAAACCGAGATATAATTGCTCTATAATATAGTTTATAGTTATAATTGTGTCTGAGTGTCTGCCGCAAATTGCCATTTCGAAAATTAAGTTGCCTAATAGGAGAAGATCGAAGAAATAAAGAACGCTGGCCCACAGATCAGTAAAACGAGCAGAATTTGATTGTTATTGCGTATATATAAATAAATATATATATATGAGTATATTTCGAATATATTTCGTCTATATTTTGATTCACTCTTTTGTATTTCCATTTTTTGTTCTTTTTTTTCGTAGTTCGGATTTGTTTTGCTTAGTTTGTTCTGGCTTTTGCGCATTAAACAGAAATCAAATAAATTCATCATCTCTCGATCGTCGTAATTAATAAAAAATGAAAGCTTTTTGATTTTGTAGTTTTTTGTTTATTCTCTCTGTGTGTGTTTTGTTGTTGTTTTTGATTTTCAATTTTTGTTTAATTCATAAACACTAAATTTAAGTTATTAGTACAAGTTTGTTTAGCTCATCGTCGATTTAAATATTTTTGCTTGCCATTGATCAATTATTTAGAATTAATCAATCAATTATTTAATATATAATATATATATATATGTTTATACAAGCTACAAAAAAATCATTACAATAATAATAAACATAAAATAATAATAATAAGAATAATTTAATAGAATAAAAAATTAATACAATTTCTGTCTGTGTATGCGGTAAATTTTCTTTTTGTTTCTTTTTTCGATTTGTTCTTTTTATGTGTGTATGCGTGTGTTTGTGTATAAATATGTGTACATGGCATTTTTTGAAATAGTTTTCTCTTTTTTTTAACAAATTTTGTACATAATTATTGAAAATTTTCCATAAAATGTAATTTATTTTAAAAATATACTCCTAAAAGAAATACAAACATTTCAATGTGTATGTGTGTGTGCATGTCGATTTATAAATGTATGTGTGCGTGTGTGTAAGGTGTGTGTCGGTGTGAGTAACAATTAGTACAAAATAATTTCACATTGAAAAGCTTCGTTTTCAATTTCCTTCATTTTCTTGCTTGCGAAAAACATATTTAAAGCTAATTTTATTTTTGCCATTCAGTCAATCAGTTGAAACTTTTGGGTTGCTAAAATATATCTATCGATACAAATGTCGATAACCACATAATGCGCCAAATGCGTTTCCCACTGTGTTTTGTTTCTCATAAATTATATAGATATATATATGTATATATATATATATATATATGTATATATAAAAAATATTGTATATATGTATAATCAGAATAATTAGATTTAAGTTAATATTCCCACGATAGCTGCTGCGTTATCGATTCGCTTTCAAATTTCAATTTAAATTTGAATTTAAATGAATTGAAAAGGATTAAGTATTTCAATAAGTCAAATGTGTGTGTTTTCAAAACTCAGTACAGTTTCAATTTCGAATTCTTTTTGTTTTGGTAGTGTTTTTTTTTTAATGTGAGTTTTATGGTATTTTTTTAATAAATTAAAATTTAATTTTAATGTTTTTTTTTGGGTGGCTTTGTGGTGGGGGGGTATTAAATGGGGGGGCGGGTTGTGAAAAGAAATTCAGAAAATGCTCTTTATAGAAAATTCTGCGCTGGAGAATTTAAAGCAAACTGCACTGGTTTTCAAGTCCTTTTCCAAGGATCTCAATATCTCTCTAACTCTCTATACCTCTCTCTCTCTCTATTTTTCTCTATTTTCTTTTTTTTTTTGAGAATTCTCTCCTCCTCCTCCTTCTTTTGTTTTTCTGTTTTCATATATATAATACAAGTTTTCATTGCTGCCACATAACAACAACGATATATGCAAGTCCTTGCACAAGTGTGTGTGTGTGTGTATGCTCGTTTGTGTGGGTGATGTGTGTGTGTATGTGAGTGTTAGTGTGAGTGGTTGGGTGGTGCACATCGCACTGAGTGGGTGGTTCAACGTTCCACCTCTGAATCTGTATCTGAATCTAGATCGGGATCGGAATCGGAATCGGGACTGGGATCCCCCCGGCGAATCCTCCTCGCTGAGCCGCTCAACTGGAGGAGCGCTGCTGCTGGTGGTGCGGTTGCCGCTTGTGGTGGCGCCTCGACCGGCGGCACTGGGTGGAGCAGCACTCGTCGATGGCCGGAGCCACTGCGTCCGGCTTCTCGAAGAGTCGCCGCTTGGTGGACACCCGCGTCTGCTGCTGACATGTGGAGCGGGAGCAGCGCTTGCGGTCGCAGTTCACCTTGGAGTCCTTAAAATGAGAAAGAAACAAATACTTCATTAGTTAAGAATTCATAAAAAATCAAGTTATAAGTTTAAAAATTAAATATGGAACTTTAAGTATTCAAGTTATTATGAAAAATAAAAAAGGAATTCTTAAAAAGTTCTGTATAATACATATTTGCAGTTAATACTACAATTTAAATAAATATAGAATTTAAACCTTTCAAATTAATATGATATAATAAAATAAACAGGTTACTTTAAGTATTCAAAATAATATTGAAAATATTAGAGACACTTCTTTCAATTAAAGAGTTATTTTTCAAAAAGGTTTATATACTAATTTTCCTCTGTTCATTTTTCAGAATAATTAAATATAGATTTTAAAGTTTTTTAAATTAATATGATATTATAAAAAACCTCATCCATTGATTCTCAGTTTCGAAAAGCTAGCTTTATATAGAATATATATAGTGTTATTAAATGTTATTTGATTTCGACAACTCACCTTGCAGCGGCACTTGATGCACTTCTGCTCGCCGTGGGACATGAGGATGGGGTGCCACTCCTGGCCGTTCTCGTACACCTTGTTGACCACCTTGCAGCCGCCGTTGGCCAGGACCTCCTCGGCACTGTGGCTGGGCGATCGCTGCATGGCCTGGTCCTGCAGCACATTGGGGTTGTTGGGCACGGCCTTGTGCCCGTTGGAGCTGCTCTGCTTGCCCTCCGGGCAGATCTTGCAGCAGGCCTTCTTGTCCGGCCGATAGGCCAACTTCTCGCTGCACTGCAGCGGTGGGCACACCAGCCGGGGGCATCGGATCTCGAGGGTCAGGGGATCGCAGCTGCAGGTGGTGCAGGTATCGAAGCCATTGGGCGGCAGGAATGGATGCCAGCTGGCACCGGCCGGATGGAACTGTTCGCCCAGCCGGCAGCCGCGTCGCTGCTGCAGCAAATCGGTGACATTGGTGGCTGGCGAGGATTGCGTGGCCGCTTGAGATTGAATGGGCACACAGCTGGGACAGCATTCACCGTCGCGCTGGAGGAGCTGCTCGATTCCCGCCTTGCACCTGAGGGCTGGGCACTTGATCACCTCGCAGCTGGACTGACCACGAAGACAGGCGCACATCTGGCAGGAATCCTGGGCACTGCGCCACTGCTCCGACTCGTTGTAGAAGCGTCCCGAGTGGAAGCACTTGGTCTCCCCATTCACCAGATGGTTATCATTATGATCCCCGGGCACCGGGACATTGTTGTCGGTGTAGACGGGGAAACAGTGACCCGGCACCTTGGTGCTCTTGAGTTTGCCACGCAGCAGAAGCTGCTTGGAGTGCTTGGAGTGCACCTCCAAGTAGCAGACACTCATCTCCAGCTTGATCAGCTCCGCCGAGGGCATGCTGAGGAAGAAACCCTCCAAGTACGAGCCATTGAATTCCTCGAGCAGCTTCCTTGTCACCGGTGCTCCAATTGCCTCGATGGGCTTCTCCTCCAGATACAGTTGCAATTCCTGGGCCGGCACACCGTTGAGGGTCACCTCGTAGTGAAGATTGCATTCGTTGTCGATGGACATCCAGGCCATGCCCACGGCATGGGGATTCTGGTCCTGCACTCGCTTCAGCAGAATGGGTTCAGCCGAGTCCCGGGCATCGGCCACCGGTCGGGGCACCAGTCGTCCTCGGATCAGGCTGGCCTCGTGCTCTGTGGCCACATTAACGCCCAGTTCGCCGGCATATAGCGATTCAAGGACCTTGGGACCCAGCTTCTCCACACTTCCAATGGCCTGGTTGAAGTTGAAGCTCGGCGTCAGATCCTCCAGCTTGGCCTTTCGTTTGCCCTGCTCCTCGATCAGGCTAATGTTTGGCCTATCCCGGGTGTTCACGTGCTCCGTCTCGATGTTGTAGGCCAGGGAGCCATCGGTGTTCAGGTAGACCCAGGCCAGGCCACTGCTCTTGGTCGAGGATTCGGCGCTGTGCGGTGCCAGCAGGGTCTGGAAGATCTCACAGCTGGCCCGGGTCACAATGTGTCCCTGGATGCGCAGATGCGGATGTTTCTTGGACTCCACGGTGAGCAGCAGTTTGCCGCGGGACATGAGGCGCAGATTCTGAATTGAAATGGGCGAGGACAGCTCCAGGACATTGATCTCGGCGGAGGGCTTGCGCACGCGGGGAATCTCATCGAAAATGACCTCCTTGCGTTCCGGCAACTCAATCTTTACACTCAGTGCGGCATCGGCGAACTCCTCGGCACCAAAGACACCGTTGAAGACCAGGGTGAGATGCATCGAGGAGGCGGCACCGCTGCTGGTGGACACAATGGCCGTGCCACCGGCTCCGGCCAGCTGGGGATCCGTCTTGCCATCGGGCAGAGTCTGAGGAGCTGCCTCCAGCAGAGAGCTGAATAGTTCCGTCTGCAGAGCCGTATACTTGGCCACCTTGCCGGCCAGAGCCAACTCAGACTGCTGTTTGTTGCCCCACAGGAGCACCACATGGAGGCGATCGTCGCGCAGGATGCGCTTGTAATCCCGCGGCACACGACGCCACACACCGCAGATCTTGCCGGTGGCATTCTGGTAGACACTCAGGGTGCCGGCCAAGGTGGTCTCCAGTTGATGCTCCTCCAGGATGACACCGGCATCGTCTACGAATTGGATGGCCCGTGGACGACCGATTCGCGATGAGGTGTAGAACGAGTAGTAGAGGTTCTTCTTGTGGAACAGGAAACGGGCGGTGGCCACAACATTCTGGGGATTGTAGGTGGTGTACATGGACTTCATCTCCTCGCCCTTGAGGAAATAGGAAGTGCGGCCCGTGAGCAACGCAGCGTAATCTAAAGAAAATGGTAGGGGGCGAAAGGAAGTTGGTGGTAATCCAGGTGTTAGATATTGTATATTCTTTGAGAATGGGTGAAAGGATATTCAACGGATTCTACTGGGTGTCCGGGCTTTGTACTTACGTTTCATGTTGCGCTCTTCCTCTTCGCTGGGCACTGGCACATCCAAGGCCACATCCGTATCTGCAAGATGGAAACAAGAATAGAGAAGAGAATTAGATGCTGTGCGATAAGGTTCGACCTTAAATGGAATTTAGATAGCAACAAATGCTTCAAAGCAGCCGTACCGCCCATGCACCATCCACCATCCAGAGTTCTGGACAAAACTACGGCATTCATCCGAGTTTTGGTGATTGTGAATGATGTGAATGAAAGGCCAGGGGATCATCGTCGTCATGAATGGCAGCCAGGTAGGACTACCCCGAACTAAGACCTTCTTCTCTTCGCTGCCCTCCACCCAGGTGGCATTCATTAATCGTGCATAAATTGAGGGCAGGTAGAACGGAGAACGGGAAGTCTAACCTACATCTAACTAGGGAAGTGCTTTGTGTGCCCCGGAGTTCCCGGAATCCACATGACACGCTCATTTGGCCCCTGGTTCCTTTGGCGTGAAAGTGGGTGGACACATTTCCGCTGTCCCGCTGATTGACACCCGGTAACCAGCGCATAAATCACCATCATCATCGAATCGGAATAAGAATAAGAATCAGTATCTGAATCGGAATCGGAATCACAATTGGAATCCCAGTTCGTTAGAACTGGCTGGATCCGACAAAAGCTGATTAAAGCCAGAGAGACGAGGGCGAAGAAGACTGTAGACTGTCGACTGTGGACTGTGTAGACTGGACCTCTGATTCTTCGCGCTGTCGATGATGCCGCATTGGCATTTCGATTATTTTATGCTGCTCCTTCTTCTCAAATCCCCGGCCTTTAAGCCGCAAAAAAAAAAAAAGAAAAGAAATATACAAAAAAAAAGAAAGAAAAGGACAGAACAGAAAGAGAACTTCGGGCCGCCATCGCATAATGAAGGGCGACAAATCTGACACCTTGTATAGCATTTTATTGAGAGCCCCGCACCAGGGTCTGCTGGTCTTCTGGCAGGGTCTGGTCTTCCAGGGCCTCTTCTCTGCGGCTTCTGCTGTCCGATCTTATCGCCTGATCTTAATACGAGCCACTTCGCCAGCCAGCCAGTTTTGGCTTTAGACTTGGCTTTTTTCCTCGACTCTTTAGTTTTTTCTTTTTTTTTTTTTCTTTTCAATTTGTGGCTCTACATTCTTGGGGCTTATTGGTGTCTTCCGAGCGGAGTCGCAGGCATCTCTGCCCTTGAATCGCGCTTGCAGATGAATGAAATTTTCGTTCTTTTTTTTTGTAGGTCTCTTTTCTTTTTTCGATTTTTTTTCTCTCCTGCTCACTGTAAGCCAAGATAAATGAGTTTTGGTGCGCACAAAGACGACGACACGTTGCCCGGTGGACGGGGGAAGGGCATTGGAAGGGGTTGTGGAAGGGGTTATGGAAGGGGTTGCCCCTTGAGCGGACAGGCGGTCAGCGGACAAACGGACAGATGGACAGCGGACTGAGCCGACAAAGCCGCGACCGAAAGACAAACGACACCTCGGCATTGACTCAACGCTTTGGTATGTGGGGCCGGCCCCAAAAGAATCTCGGCGGCAGCTCATTAACAAAACTGAAGAACTGGAAAATGGGAAGGGGTAGCAAACAAAACCGAAACAGAAACAGAACCCAACTCGAAATAGAATCGTTTGAAAGTGTTTCTTAAATGTGCTGCGATCAGAGCTATACGGTTTCCACAGAAATCCCGAGCACGTGAGAATGATTTGATATATCTGTCTCGAATTTCATGTCATATTACCAGGTGTGTGGGATCAACACCATGAACAATCACAAGCTAGCCAAATGGAGTGGGGGATTTGGAGAAGTATTTTACGACACGAATGTTGTAATAGTTATTGAAGCAGATTAGTTGAAGATCTGGAGAGATGTTGGTACACTAGTTTCTAACAGATCTTCAACTCTTTCGCTACCCATCCCTACCCCTCGAAAAAATAAAACCAAACCCATTATAATCTTCGGCTAAGATCATTCGATTCAGATAGTTTTCGGAACCCAAACCGACGCCTTGTTAGCTCTATTTCTCAGCCTTATCGCGATCCACAATCTCCACTTAGGGGAAAAAAAGGTTGGAGAGTGGGAATATAATAGACAGTTCCGTTCGCCGCTGCCGATGCAGAACCGATAAAGATACAGATAAAGATAAAGATAAAGTTGAGGATTTTATTGTTCGATGGCGCACCTCACGCCCGGCCATAAAAATGAATTTGGCCCGGCGATCCTTTTGTGGCACAACAAAGTTGCTGCTGCTGCTGCTGCTGGGAGAGATCTCTTCGATCTGGATTCCGATCTTGGGATCTTGGGATCTTGGTATGTTATATATAAGGGGGAAAAAGGGATGGCCCAACCACGACCACAAAAGATGTCATCAAGTTGAATTGTCAACTCTGGCGACTCGCCTAATGGGATCGATGCGATGCGATGCGATGCGATGTGAGTCGATGGAATCGAGAAACATTAACTTTTATTGTCTACCTGGGGATATGCCCCTTTCTACCTTTACCTTTCCCTTTCTCTTTCTCCCGTTCGGGGACCGCCCGCCGTTTGTGGCGGCAAATGAGATAATTTAATAAGCGTTAAAATGCCCGAGTTATGTCATTATAAAAATGAACGAACAAAAAATACCAGGCATAAATTAATGCCGCCTGGTCTTCTGTTTCTTCGCTTTTCTGAGCAGCCGGAGATTGCCGGAGAATTCGGGGGGGCCAGAAGAGGGGAGCAGAGCCAAAAGATTCGATCCCAAAATGGACATTTAACGAAGGTAGGCAATTGTTGATGTTGATTATATGGCCATGTCATGAGCTTCAAGCTCCAGGCATCGGTTCTTCGGGCCTGACAACTTGCCCAGGACGAGCACGGCTACGATGGAGCCTGGCTAAGAGGGAAGCAGTGGAAATTATATAGCCAAATCTAACAAAAATCAAAAAATATAGATATTACAAATATCTCAATTAAAGATATTTTATTTTGTATTATAATAAATATTTTTAAAATATCCTGTTTATCTGATGGATACTTCTTGTATTTCCACAAATATTTTCTAATCTTTGCCATCCTTTTTTTCTGCGTGCAGGCATAATATGCGGAGTATGGGGCAAAAAACCAAGTTAGGCAAAAAATAACTTTGGAAACGATCGTTGCGAGCCTGGCTGCCGTTGTGCCCAGTTGCTGTTGTTGCAGCGAAATATTTGTACAATAGCCCAGGCTAGATGGCTAGCTAGATGGCTAGATGCTAGCTGCTAGCTGCTAGATGCTGGTGGCTAGATGGCTGACTAGTCAGCCGCTGACTGCGTGAGAGCCAAAGAGTCTCGCTGGAAAAGCCGCGCCCGTGCCTTCTAACTATTTATGGCAAACGAGTTGCGTTGGGAGTTTCTTTTTGGATGTGGCATAAAAAATAAAAAAAAATAAAAAATAAAATAAAATAAAAACCAAAATGCAGTGGAAAAGTGAAATTGTTTTCGGGTGGAAGGTTTTGCGCTCGTGGGTCAACGGCTCTTTGCATAAGCAAATGTAAAATGAAAAATGAAAAAATGAAAAATTGCCGCAAAACGGAAACTAATGATGTGATGCAGCGACCGCCTTAACCCCTCGACCGCAGCCCCCTTAACCCCATTGGGCAACCAGTTTGCCCCATGCCACACAGCAACTGGTAACTAGCAACAAGCCACCAGCATCCAGCAACCAGCAACATGCAACATGCGGCAGCAGCAACTTGGCAACTGGAATTCAGACAGCACTCGCCTGATTATGTGAAAAATGTCACTGGGAAAAGCGGCAGAGAGTTCGTCACATTTTTCGTGAATTTAAAAAAAATCAGAGGTGATTTGAATTCAGGCGGAAAATTGGGCAAAGCCAAATCATAAATTATGCCAGCTGGCAAAAAAGTGAAAGAGAAAAAGAGAGACCCTAACTCCCGGGTAATTGGCCTATTAGGGCACTACGAATGCGGCACGTGCGCCCCCAATGGCAACCCGCCCCACTCTAAATGAATACTTGAAATACTCTCGCTGCTCCGATACGATAATAAGTATTGCCCCCAGAAACAACTTTAGGCGCCGTTCGGGCGATATAAAATAGATTGAAAATAAAACAAAGCGAACACGTCGCACCAAAGAACCACCGAACACCACCGCCGAATAAATAAATGCAAAAGTCAAAGAAATAAAAAATGTAAAAAACCGGGGGCACCACATGCTCTATGTGGCCATTATCCGAAGTAGTGGACCAGGGAATAGGTATACGAATGCGAATGCGAATAGGAATCATCATCAGTGGTGTCGCCGACAGACGCTGACTGAGACATAAAAACGAAATATAAATTGCGTAGCGCTGACCTTCATTTCGGGCCAAGTAATTTTTCATAAACAATTTACGCGTTTCAGCCAAATATACATATATATATTTGGAATGGTATATATATCAGATGGTGGAGAATATCATAACATCTTGTTTTTGTGTGGCAGCTGCCGTGGATGCTACGCTTAATTATTCATGGCTAGGCGGATGGCCAAACATATTTATATATATCACTAAGATATCATCTAATCCCGATTTATGTTATCAAACAGGTCATTTCAAGTGTCAAAATATTGAAACATTAAAAGGAAATTATTAGTTTGGTCTAATAATATTGTTTTCTATCAAATACCAATGGTTTTTCTGGCATGGAACCCCTTCACGAAGCATTTGTTGCCCCCCAACGTAATCGATATGGTATCAGGATCTCTGGGACTTACCGTTCCTATCGCCGGGACAGGTCTTGCAGCATTTTCCGGGCAGCGAGATGGGATCATCGCATTTGGCCGGTGGACACTCGTTCTTAATATTGCGACACTGGACGCGTGCAACGATGCGGCGCTTCTTGGGTATCTAAAAAAAAAATGAAGAAAGAAAATAAACATATATAATAAGCATAAAAAAAAAGGTGGAGCATTAAGTTGCTAGTAGAGCGGCGAAATAAAAAATTAATTGGAATTAGTAATGCAGATTCCCAGGCCTGTCACTTTGATTTATGCCTTGTTAGCCACCGAATCTGGTCTAAATCAAGCTGCGATCTCCTACCAATATCATCGGATCGGGTCCATTATAAATATAGAAACGGTGTGCCTTTTTATAATTATATTTCTCTTTTTTTTTTATGAATCCACCAGAGCTCTTTTGGCTGCTGTTTGTCTTTTTGATGTTTCGCTGCCTTTATTTTTTTATTATTAATTTTTATTGGTCGCCAGCGCCGCTGATGATGATGTTGCCGCTGTGCTTAAAGTTCAACAGCAGCAACATGTTTTAAATAATTTTATGATGTGCTCATTTGCGACGCTTGCAGCCAACATAAATTATAATTAATTAATTTCAAAGCTGACTTTTATGCAATGCACATTAAAAATTAACAAAAAATATATATGCATATATAGATGTGCGCACTGGAGAAATCGCAGCTTGTGAGCAGACCATTATATATCTTATATATCTTATAGATGTATATATATATATATATCTGGCCCGTCTGGTCCATCGCAGACTAGCAACAACAACTCGCGACCGGTGGCATCAATTAATTTTTGTCTCCCGACCACGAATACGCATCTATGTACGTATATATCTATATGGATCTGGTGCTTTTTTTTTGATTTTTTTTACCCGGCGAGGACACGAGTGTGACATTTTTATGTGTCGCTTGGGAAAATTGCTCAGGCTTGCCCTCGTTCTTCCTTTTTTTTTTTGTCGCAGCCTTTTTTGTATAGCACTGCAATATATTTTTTTTCTGACTTTTTGGCATTTTTGCGTAATTCGATCGAGCATCCACGAAAATGCCGAATTTGTTTTTCAATTTGGCAAGGCTGAACCCCGGCTGTCTATAGAATATTTGGCTCTGATTCGTAACATATCGCATAAAGAGCTTTCAAATCGATATTAATCATGCGTGGAAATGCCATAAATTAAGCGCGTCCGAGTAGCGAGAACACAATCATTTTCATTCGATGTTCGGTGGCAGTTTTCCCCCCGAATTTTCCTCAGCTTGTAGCGAATGTCGACGGTCATTAGTCATTTTGCTTGCCATTTGCCCAAAGGAATTTCTTGGCTAAACGTGCTTAAGATGAACTTTTCAACTGTTTTTCTTGACCCAGGAAGTTGGGCATATTTCTAGGATTTTCTACATATTTTAGTTACTATTTTAAGCATTAAAAATAAATATAAAATGAATAAGTAAAGAACACTTACCGCCACGCATTCACACTTGATGCAGTACATCACTCCGAAGGGTGGACCCAAATCCGCGTACCAGGTCGAGCCTAATTCGCGCAGAACTTTGCCAAACTGACATTCGGTGACTGAAAGTAGAGGAAATGGAAAGGAAAAATAAATCTCTCGTTCTGTTGTCGATGTGCTTCCTCAATTGCCATTTAAGATCTATGGGATTGTGTGTATATATATTAATTTATTTGTATTTTTTTCGCTGGCGCCAGTTGGCACTGCAATTGCCTATATATCAGCGAGGTTAATAATAATGAAAATTCATAAAATTCAAATGACAGACGCCCACAGCCCAAGGAGGATGATTAAATCCAAGGGGGATTGCCAATCGATCAGCAGCTAATTAACTTCAATCGCAAAGAGCTACCCGGCTGGAAGCCCATCTTTGCATTCGCATACGTATTTGGCTATGGGTTTGGGTTCGGGTTCGGGCCTTCAGCTTTTCTGGCTTTCAGGTTTTCCACTCCGATTCGGGTGGGCAGACCGATGCAATCAGAATTGCAGAACGTTTTCAGCCAAAAGCGGCGAAACGAAAAAAAAAAACTGGCGCCACATTCGCTGAGAGGCGTTGAGTCGCTTCCGGCAGCGTTTTCAATTACAAATGCAAGCCACTACACAGGGAAAAATAATACTACACTTTTCTATATAATAAATATATATATAAAATATAAAAACAAATATTATCTAGGCAGAAAAATATTTTAAAGGGACTTTTTACCTATTGTAATATTACAATTTTTCTTATTTATCAATAACCTCCAATTTATTTCCGTGTACTTAAATGGAATGAAGAAGCAGCAGCGTCTCTCTGGGGCGCCAGCAAGTGTCAAATTGTGGGATTAGATCGAAAATAGGGGGGCTCGAGGGGCTCTATCATCAGCATCCACTTTGATAGTCTCAATTTCATTAGCAACATTCGTGGGATTACGTTTTCGAGTCGGGCTCTTCGTTAATTTGAGGCGCGCGAGCGGCAAAACTTTGCACAAAATCCCACAAATCGTATGCAAATCGAAAACGCAAAGCATTATATTAATAATATATTTGAAATAGCCACACCAAGTTGTCGGTGTCTCGGCAAAATTATGCTAAAACTTTTGGCGCCACTCATAAAAAATGTAAACGAAACAAAAAAAGACAAAACGCCGCGCAAAGTAAAAAAAAAAAAACAAAAAAAAGATATAAAAGGCAAATGCCCAAAATCGGAAACTTTCGTAGTCATATGGCAATGAGTTTTTTTTTTTTTTTGAGGTGGGTGGGGGTTGGCTAAAATTAATTGAATTAAAACAAAAGGCCGCTGCCGAAACGCACCAAAGTCGCGGGGGAAACGCGCTGGAAACGCTCGAAAAAAAATTGCTGACTATAAATGAAATGAATAATTGAGTTATCAAAGGAGTTTGGCATTTACTTCAATTAAGAAATATTTCTTCTTGCAAGGGTAAATGTTAGTATTATATAAAAAGTGAAATATAATTTTTCTCCAGGTGTATTTTTTAATAGCTGGCCAAAACGCGTCGAAGTCGCGTGGAAAACGCGCATGAAACGCTTGAAAAAAATATTGCTGACTTTGAATGAAATGAATAATTGTGTAATCAGAGGAGTTTGGCATTTACTATAATTAAGAAATATGTTATCTGGCAAGAGTAAATATCAGTATTATACAAAAATTGTAATTACAATTTTTCTCTGGGTGTATTTTTTCAATTGCTGGCGGTTGACACCTGTTGTTCGGCGGCTCCCCCGCGGTTATCGCACACATCATTCATACGATTCCATATCTCTGGCCATGCTGCCCTGATAATCGCTCCACCGACGTTTTCGCATTTGCCCGCCAAAAGGCAAAAATAAAAAAAATCACAAACGGGGGAGCGACAATAAACTAATTAGTTGAATACACGTGATAGTGCTGGGTAATATTTGGCTTCCCCTTTTTTTTTCCTTTCTTATTTTTGGGTCAATCCAACCACCCACCAGGGAAACACTTTGCCATTGAGAGAGCCGCACCACCCAAAGGCATTCGAAAAGCATTCGAAACCACCGAATCTGGCGACGGACGCTCCGCGGCGCCATGGCGTATACGTGATAAGTGGCGCTAACGACGCGCGACGTTTATCAATTTTGTTGTTGCCGCTTGTCATTGGCGCCAGTTTTATTTGCGTGCGAAACAATTTAAATACAACAATAATAATAACCAGCGGCAAAAACCGAAACGAAGCCAAATGAAACAATGAAAATAAGCCCCAGCGCAATAGATTTATATGAGCAGAGAGAGAACAACTATGTATACTTTATAAGTAGGAGGTGCCACTAAGATGAGGATGAACCAGATCGCGAGGAGGAGGAGGTGGACTTATGGCGATAATCCCCAGGCAGGGCCATTAATCATATTGCAAGTCTTGATCCCGCCCTGTCACACATTTCACAGCAAGTGTCTCGCATAACAATCAAATTAATTAAATAGAAATTTCATTTAATTAAGCAATTATAATTTGGGGGCCTTACTTTGGGTTAGATTAATCAAATAAAAAAATATTAAGGTGTGATCCTAGGCAAATATTAATATGAAAAACTCTCTGTTGGCCACCAAAATGGGGTTCCATTATAATGGTATTATTATTTCCCCGGTTTCTTTTTTGGCCCATCTTTGGCGCTATCTCGCTCTCCTGACACTCCACTTCCTGTTTTCAACCTCAGCTGTTATTATTATTATTGTGTTGCCACAATTTGTCTAGACATTTGATGTATGACCGCGAACAGAAACCGAAAAAAAAATTAGAAGAAAAAAACCCAAAAAATGCGGCCAATTTCTGTGCAAATATCGCTTTTTGTTTGTTTGCCCATGCACTTAACAGAACCGAATTCGAATTCGTTTATGGGCGAATTAATCTCTGATCATTTCCAATTGATTGACAAGCCGATTGGGAATAACATCGAAATCCGAACAATATCCATGTAAATATTTTGCCCGAAATGTTGTGCAAATGGAAATGCAGCGTGGGTGAACAACAACAATACGAGAGCATTCCGCACGCTTTATTTTTAAGTTTAATTTAAGACGAAATGTCTAGAAATAAATGGTTCCTGCTCGTCTTTCGCCGCCGCATCCGCCCCTTATTTATCTTATTTTTTTCGCAGTGCATTGACTCACAATACCCAGCATAAAGAGAGAGAGGGAAAGAGAGAGGGAGAGAATGTGCAACAAATTATGGTGCATCAACGGAAAAAAAGAGTCAAAACTCGAAAGTGTCTGGGCAAACATTTGCGGCATACGAATCATTAGCAAACAAATGTTAAAAATACTAAAGACATTCTCTGTGGCAGCACTTTCCGTTGCCAGGCGACATAAAATGTCAGAAAAGTGTTGGAAAGCGTAAAAAAAATATATATCTTAGGATATTTTAATCCTAAAGATGGTAAAATGGTGAGATGGCTTGAAAAACTTTAAGATGGTATAACTTGGAATGGCAAACTTATACTGTTTTTGGAACTATAAAAAAAAATTGGAAGTATGTTATGTTACTAAAAAACTATAAGATGGTAAAACTTGGGATAGTAAAGCTATACTGTTTTTGGAACTATTGCTAAAAACTTTAAGATGGTAAAACTTGGGATTATACTACTCTTGGAGCTCTAAAAATAATTGAGATAAATATTATTATTCCTAAAACTTTAAGATGGTATATTGCTTTAGGATCTATAGAAATTATTTTAAAATATATTATGTTCCAAACTTAGGTTGATTATTTTGGGTGATATAAAATAGGTAAAAATATTTTTCTATAGCCCGTAGTACCCCAGTTTTCGACCAATTTGTGGGGTGCACCCAGCCCCCAGCATAAAGACAACAAACTAATGGTCTCTGTTTTTTTGTGGTTCTGCAATGTGCTAATTACGGTCGAAAGAAACAGGACCAAAACGCCCAAAAAGGGGGGCGTGGCGGGGCGGCCTGCGCACATGTGTCATCGTGTTGGTGGTTTTCGGGTGGCTTTTGTGGCCAAAAGGAAAATGGACCAGAAGATTTTCGCCTGTTGCCAAATGCGTTGCAGTCGCCGTCGACGTTGCTGACTCACATGACGCAGAACCAGCGGCGTCGAATTGTCGGCTATTTTTTTGTGGTCCCACACACACACACACGCACACCTCACTATACCTTATATACAAAACGATATATATGTAAAAGATATATATATATATACAGGGACAGAGCGAAGTGCCTTTGAAAATTTTGGCGCTCGTACGCGCTTTTAATTGAGTTAAAAGATCAGCACAGATCGGTGCATATAGCTGTGCGAAATATATAGACCAGGCCGAAGCTGTTTTCATTTATCTATAAATCGAGCCATCTATATGTACATTTCTTTCTATATATTTATTTATTTTCCCTCGTTTTTTGCTGCTCTTGTTTAATGTTATTTTTATTTTGCGCCTTAATTAATTGTGGCAAAATAATTAGCGCAAATGTTAAAGCTCAACGTTGGATATCATAAAATACAATGAAAGGCATGCGTGACATGTACTAAAATAAATGCTTCGATTTTCCCAGAAGTCCCCCAATAGATATAAATATTTTAATGACTAGAGAGAGACTATATTTTTGATAACCCAGGTTCCAAATTGTTTATTTCCCTGCGAGGTGGCTAGATTTTTGTAGGAAATATGGATGATTGCACTTTTCGAGTTGTTCAAATTTGACAGCTACGAGTGTTGAACTGTCAATCAGTCCATGGGTCAATCAATCAATCGGCATGGAATGAGTTAAAAGGCGGCAAACAACAAAAACCGCGATAAAACCAAATGAAATATTTGTTCAAATGGTTCGCCAGCGACTTGTTTGTTTTATAAGCAATTAAATTATTTAAGTGCAAAGCAAACAAAGTCAAAATGCCTTTACTTTACACTAGTTTTTTCTCTTTTTTTTTTGGGGACACGCCAGTTCTAATGAAGATTTCTAATGGTTGATTAAGTGCGTTGCTCAAAGGCGGGCAAAAGTGCACAGCGAGAAAGGGGAGGTGACTTTGGCTTGTGATAATAATATAATTAAATTACTATTTTGAGTTTTTTTGTGTAAGTAAACCCAAGA